CTGCACTGGTAACACATGCATCACAGTCACTAAGCCCGCGCGTAGCGCGGGTTTCAGCTAGTAAACCCAAACAAACATTTACAAATGGGCGTTTGTTCTCTTGTCAAAGGCAAAGCAAATCGAAGCAGCCAATCAGAAGGCGCTAAATTCTTCGCTATGTTATACCGTTTGGGAAAAAAAATTTCGCGAGCGGGCCAGCGTGTATTTGGAGCGGGATAGCGTGTACACACTGCTATTTTTAGCGCGCGTTAGACGCGCGTCTAACTCGCGCTAGTTTAGTACCATATCAAATTCGTATAGTCTGTACGGGGTAATAGACAGGTGACCGTTCTATCGAAGCGATTTCACTGAATAAATGCACCTCAATGGGAAATCCCCTTCACGGACGGTTGTCCGTTATACGGAGGTGACCGCTAACGAAGGGTTGACCGTGTTTGCGCCCGCCGTGATGTATTTACGCACGTAGCAACGCAGTGACGCGTACACGAATATTTCTTATGATAAAGGTTCTTCTTTGGTTACGTACGTAGAAACGCAGTTACGCATGCACAAATATTTCTTCTGAGTATAAGATTCTTCATCGGCGAAACATGCACCGCGGGACGAGGAAATCGAACCAGGACGTGCGTCGTGTGATCTGGTGATAGATAGATAGATGACACGGCATAGTTTAGCCAGTACCACGCGACCGAGAAACAACAGGTGGCAATCCCAGAGTCTACACACACGCAAAACGCACCTACGTCATTCATATCTATACACGTTCTCTCATTTATTTATATTACGCGCAAATCTAGCAATGCAAGCAATCCTAAAGATTACGATTTTGCTCATAGAATCAACTGAATAACCGGTGTTTTTTGTTCTCGTTGTCAATAGGCTGCAGTATTGAGGTTAAGCCTGCCACTACACTATAACATACGATTCAGTGAGGCAATATACTGACAATTAACGTTTCCTATCGACTATTGGTGTACGTACGTACGAATCGAATTACAATTGAATACATACTAATTATATATAAAACGAGATTATTAATATGTGAACTGAATTGTGAATATAATATCCATTCTTGCCCTCGCTCTCTCCCTCTGCACTCCCTTTCCCCCTCTCCCTATACTACTCTACTGTACATCGTGCAGTCGGAGGAGGATCCGAGAGGCGCGGCTTCTTCTTCTCTCCCTCTCCCTCTCTCCCTCTGCGCTTTCTCTTCCCCGCCCTCCTCTACATCGTGCAGTCGGAGGAATCCGAGAGGCACTGCTTTTTCTTCTCTTCCCCCTCCTCTACATCGTGCAGTCGGAGGAGGAATCCGAGAGGCGCGGCTTCTTTTCTCCCTCCCCCTTCCCTACCCTCCCCCTCCTCTACATCGTGCAGTCAGAGGAGGAATCCGAGAGGCACGGCTTCTTCTCTCCCTCCCCTTTCACGACCCTCCTCCTCTTCTACATCGTGCAGTCGGAGGAGGAATCCTAGAGGCACGGCTTTTTCTTCTCTCCCCTCTCCTTGCCCTCCCCCTCATCTACATCGTGCAGTCGGAGGAGGAATCCGAGAGGCACTGCTTCTTCTCTCCCTCCCCTTCCTTACCCTCCCCCTCCTCTACATCGTGCAGTCGGTAGGAGGAATCCGAGAGGCACTGCTTCTTCTCTCCCTCCCCTTCCTTACCCTCCCCCTCCTCTACATCGTGCAGTCGGAGGAGGAATCCGAGAGGCGGGGTTTCTTCTTTGTGGCGGCGCGGTCGTGCGGTGACATGTCGATCGGCTGCATGAAGCTCATGCTGGCCCGGCGCACGCAGGAAGATGACGATGTCGTGTTGGTGGTGGTGGAGAGGCAGTCAAACTCGCTCGAGTCCATCTCTGAGGCGGTGTCGAGACGCTCGGTGGAGAGCAAGGTGTCCGTGCTAAAGATCGTGCTGTGAGGAAAGCGGGAGGGAGGTGTTAATATCATCATCATCGTCCTCATTGTCATAATTATTATCATCAACATCATTTTCATTGTCATTGCATTGCCATCATCATCATCATACTTATCAACATCGTCACTGACATCATCATGATTGTCAACATCTTGATCATCATCACCACCATCGTCAACATCATCATTATCACTACGGCAGTAAACAGCAAATCGTTTCTTCTCTTACATCACAGCACACACAATTAATTGTCTCTTAATCTCTACGATCAATCAATCAATCGATTAATCATCAGTTTTCAATACGTATACACAGTTACATCACAGACAACATAATGCATGTACACATACGTGCAACGTCACCAGTAGCCATAGTTATCAAGAGAGTAGATCATAGTAGATGAGAGTTCACCGGCAGTCGCGGCTGCATCGCGAGCGTCGCCGCGGCAACACGTCTCACCTGTCGCTGCCCTTGCGCTTCAGCATCGCGGCGGAGTCTCCCGCGGTGCGCGCGGTCCGCGCCGCCGCCGCCATGTTGCCTCGCAGGCACACCAGCTCGGCGCCGCCGGGCCGACACGACGCCACATAGATGGCGCCGGGGGAGCCCGCCTCGCCGAGGTAGCGCGGACGTGTCACGGGGAAGTACGCCTGCGCGACGGTGGCGCCCCCGCTGGAAGAGGACGTGCGCTTGTTGATGTCGCACACCTCGACGCAGTTGATGTGCGTGATGAAGAGATAGGGGGCGCTGTAGCCTGCGATCGAGAGAAAACGTGTCGGCGAAAAAATCGGCGCAGAAAAAAACGTAAGCTGTGAAAATCTAAATGGTCGTTTTGATTTACCCGGAAGCCATCTTGATTTATACAAGTATATATTGACAAGTTTTTGTACTAGTTATTTTACGCAATCACTGAAGTAGCCAGAAAGTACTGGCGATATACTATCAACACGAGACGAGTAGACAAGTGAACTGCCTCGTCGTCAAGGTGGATACGCACCGAACGCCAAGGGGAGCCGCGACCACTTCATGTCATCCTTGCGGGAGCGGCAGCCGTATGCGTCCACAAACACGCCGAACTCTGCAAGCAAGAGCGCCGACAGTTAATCGTCACCATGCGGCGCCACTGGGCCGACATCGGCGCTCTCTGTGACGAAAGCATCGCCAAAAAACACTGCCGCAAACTACACAACGACAGGAATTGGGATTTTTCCTAATTCAGATGACGCCAGAAAAGAAATTTGCGGAGTGACCCGCTAGATGGCGCCTCTCGCTCGCAGGCGCTGGCGACTCACCGTGGAAGCAGAGCAGGAACTCCTCCTCCTTGCCAGGTGGCGACACCTGCATGACGGAAACGGGGAAGCTGCTGCGGCCGGCAGCAGCGTAGACGACGTACGCCAGAGACGTGTCGGACGCGTCGAGAAAATCTGCAACCACACACCAGGGGGTGCCAGTACAATAATACGATAATGTAATGAAGGTGATACCAGAAAATTACGTCTATGAACGATACTTTATCGTAATAATAATGTGACGACTTATAGAGCTCTCTCGCTCTCCTTCTCTTTCTCTCTCCCTTTCTCTCGCTCTCTCTATCCGTCCATCCATCCATTTATCTATCCAGCTATTTCGCTTTCCTTACCTCCCCCTTCTCTCTCTATTTCTTTTACCCCTCTCTCTCTCTCTCGCTCTCTCTCTCTCTCTCGCTCGCTTGCCTACCTTCGATGGTGCCCTGCATGAGATCGATCTCATAGTAGGTGTTTGTTCCGAGGATCACGCTGTGTTCAGTGAACAGCAGACAACTGCAAGGTTCCGCCGTCGCAAACTCCTGCTCGCCGCCGCCGCAAGAAAAACACACGACGATTAATAGGGGGTTACCTGTATCAACACTTACATTAGGCAGTGTGTTATATCACATTGTCACGTGTTAGACAATCTGTGTTACATCACACCGCATTACATCATGCCATGTGTTATATCATCCATGTTACATGCCTACCTTGAGCACGACAAACTCGCACGTGGTAGCGCAGTACTTGAGCAGTTTCAGCTTGTCCGGCAGGGCTGCGCACACGAATCCGCAACCCTCACGCCACGCGCCCGCGATCAGGTGACACGTCGCTATCGACGAGACAAACGCCGGCGTCACAGTGGGCGCTGCGACGCTCGCTCGCGCCACGCGGGACGCCAGCGGCGCCGCCTCAATCGTGCACAGCTCCTGGTGCTTGCCTGCAGAGAGAGAGATAAGATGGCGACGATGTTGTCACGTTACCATGGTGACAAGAAAATGGCAGCGACATTGAAGAATTGAAGAATGCCGTCGAAATCCATCTAATGATCTTTGCTTGAGAAACCGCTACGTTATGGGTTGTTGTTACATCCACGAAGCGTATTACTGCCAAATTAATTAATTAGGAGGCTTTTACTATCGGGGGCATTGTAATTTCAGAATCTTTACAAACGTTTACCCTCGTATAATATTGCATGGTTTTACAAGATGGGAAGATGACTAGTGATCTTTATAACCAATAGCCCATGACTGGGAAGCAACTCGAACCACACACGCTGCTGTTAACGATTCGCTAATAAGTTATCAGCGATCGTTAATTAGCGAGTCGTTAGTTAGCGATTGGCGATTGTTATACCGAATGCGTCGGGGCTTCACCTCAAATCGCTCGTTAGTGGCAATTAGTGCTAACGAGGGTGGGCGTGACTTACCGGTGATCATGACGATGAGACCCAGCTGAGTGAGAGGCAGCATCTGGTAGACCTTGTCGATGCCTTCGACCCGGTAGAGGGCGCCACCGGAGGGGTCGGCCGGCAGCGGCAGCGCGAACAGTCCCTCCTCCGCTCCCAGCAGCAGCAGCAGCTGTGAAGCCATGTGATACACAGTATTACAAGCGATGTGCAGCATTGTCACGCAACGTGTAGCATTGCCATGTGACGGGCAGCATTATTAGGCTACATACAGCATCTCCACACAACACCGCGCTGGCTAGACACACACTCCCCTCCTCCCACCGCCTCCCACCCCCACGTCAACAAATCTGCAACGCTAGCTACCTGATCGTTGAGCACCAGGGTGCAGTTGACGTCCAGCTTGCGGTCAGAAGTGGTCAGACTCGTGACGACGTTGCCCCGCAGCAGAGCGTCCGGCGCGGGACTCGCGTGTGCCGCCACGACGCTCGCCAGCGCGCACGCCCACTTGTTCTTCTCGAGGAAGTTTGGCGTCATCAGGTAGAGGTTCCTGCAGTGCGATCAAACGCGTGGATCAGACACGAGAGAATGCAGGCAAGTCGAGAGGAGCGATGATAGAAAGACATAAGCGTAAACAAAATGTAAAAAACGTAATAAACGAACAAAAAAAGAAGGAACAACAGCAGTAACAAAACCTTCCCCTCCCCCCCCCAAAAAACACGGAAAAGGAAAAAACTAATAAAAAAATAAAAGGACAAAAAAATAACAAATAGAACATACACAACAAAAAACAACAAAACAAACAAAAACCACAACAATAAATAACAACACGGACGAAAAAAAACAACAGCAACAACAAATAACAAAACAACAAAAATAATAGAAAAAACACGTGAACGCATTCCTCGCTTACCTGGCCGGCCAGCAGGTGGTGTGCGGCCTGAACTCGACGCGCAGGATGTAGGGGACGTCGGACGCCGCCGCCGTCGGTAGCTCTGAGCTGCCCACCGCCTCATGAACGACCACAACCCCGTCCGCCGGCGCGAGGTCAAACGCATCGCCGGCGCCACGTGTCGCAGCGTTTTCCTTGTCGTGGACGCTGAGCGTGGCACCGCGCACGACGACATAACTCCTGTCCCACGCGCTCTTCACCCTGCACGACAAATTTAATTAATATCGAAATAATTGAGGGAATAAAATTGAGCTTCAATATTAATGAAGCTCAATCAATGAAAATTGATTGAATTAATGAATGAATTAAATTAATGAATTAAATTAATTCAATTAATGAAAATTGAGTTTCAATATTAATTTTGACGGGATTTTAAAATTTGAATAAAATTGAGAGGACAGGGGAAGGGGGTGGGCAGCGCCTGGGTTAGGCACTACGGGGGTGTAGTCCCCCCCCCCCACCCACACACACACACGGCAGACGTGTGGGGATAACCAGGATGCGGATTCCCCTTTTTTCTTATTTTAAATAATGAAAAGTTAGTATGGTCACGATCCCCCCAACAGTGAAACAAACCCAGAAATTCCAATTTTTCAAACAGAACCGTGAGTGGACCTTCAATTCAGACCTGAATAGCTGTCATTGGGTTTAAAAATCGACGAAAACAAGCATTTACAATTCATTGGAATGCTCAAACTAGTGGCGTCATCTGAACAACTATCCGTTTCTCTTTTGTTATAAAAACGTAGTTTTCTCTATCGAAACCTTCCCCGCCGCCGCAGTCCGATTCTCGCACGACGCTCACCCCTGTATCTTCAGCCAGCCCTCCAGACGGACGCTCTTGTCCGACGATGGCACGCCAGGAGAGGGCGTCACCGTGGCGAATGGCGACTTGGTCACGTGATCCAGGTATTCTGACGGCAGGCCACAGGTGCTGGGCAGGTTGGTGGCACACTTGGGATGGCAGGAGAGGTGGCATTCTGCGAGGGGAAGAGACATTCCCTGAGATTCACTGACAAGAGAAAGCTCAGCATTCGAAAGACGTTCCAATATTCGCTGACAAGAGATATTCGGCGACGAGAGAATGCAGCGCACGTGAAAACATTTTCGATTTTCACTGATATGTAAAAATGCATTAACAAATAATAATTATAACAAGAGCCGCAGAGCGTCTGTTGCTACGGTTATAAACGTAACATTTAAGTCGTGCGTAGTGACACCTTTGTTAGGGGCAGATATGCATATACGCAGTTGCGTACCTACACATCATTTCAGCAACCTTCTGCATTCTGCATACCTCCCAAATCCCATTGGTTGATACAAATTGCGTGCCTGAAACTCCTGTTTTATGGTGCATTGTGACCCTAACCCTAACCCTATTAAAAAAAAAATTAATTGTAAAAATTATTTGTTGTTATGAAATTGTTGTAAATAAATCATGTACATATTTGCATTTTAATTGGAAAAAAATAGTTAAAATAGATAAAGATAGAAAATACAGAAAACAGGTAAATAATAAAAAATCTGATGGATTCGATCACAAGGACCTTTGAGCCGTAATCCTGTGGCTGTACCGTTGGGCATCCATGCTAATTATTGGCTTTTAGATTATGGATGTGCCCATGAATATGAAACACTAGTACAATCATTGAGGCAGTCAGGAAATCCATGTTAAGGATACTCTTAGGCAAATTTTATAAATGATTTTGTTTTTACAATTATTTGATGGCTAACACCAATGTGCCAGCCTTTGTATGCCTCATATTCTCACATATAAACGGCAGGCCCCTAGCCAGTTTTCTATTGGGGGGCGTTTCGTTTTTCAAATGTTGGCAATATTGCTCCGCAGGGGCGTGTAGCAGGAATTTATGTAGCCAGGGGGGGGTCGACTAACCGTAACCCAAAGTTGCGAGACTCGCGAAAGGGGGCGTCCTCGGGGACTCCCCCCGAAATTTTGTTTAAAATTAGACCCCCTCATGATGCGTTTTCTGCGCGAGCAAGGGGTGTCCGGACTCCCTGGACCCCACCTGCTACCACGCTCCCTGCTCCGGGCGGCGAAGCGACAGGCGAGAGAGACCAAGCGACCGAGCGGGGGAGGGTGTGGAAGGGGGGTGTTCACTGTTCACCCTCCCGCACGATGGAGATTTGGCAATTATTTACACTAAAATGGAAGCGAACATAAGGCTGAAATTCTTGCAAATTTTCAAATTATTATTTTTTGGCTTGGGGGGTGGGGGTAGGGGGGGGGGGGAGTATCGTTCGAACCGCCCGACCCCCCTGGCTACGGCGACTGTAACGGTACAATGTGAACTTTAGAGCGTATGGATTGGCCCGCGTACACGTGTAGTGAGCAGCAGCCGACGTCACTGATGACGTCAGAGACATGATACAACCAGAATTTTCATGATATTCACTACGCCAGTATCATTCAGCATCAACCCTCCTACAGCTGTCATCTGCCAGTGATAGTTGAAATTGCCGCGCGACCGAAAATAGCCCCGTTTCCCTTGTTACACACCTTGCAGTTAGGCGCGTGTTTGTTGACAAATAGCTTAGTAACGGCATGCAGTACACATCGTACGCGCGTTTTGCATGAAAGTGCGGTGGTAATCTCGTAATTTCTCACAATTTCTCAAGGTGCATGGAAGATATTACCAATTTAGTGGTGTCAGTTAGTCATGGATATGTCACAGTAAGTACTACTACTAACAGTAATGTTTCACATACGTTCACCCATTTTGCACACAGGCAGTCGATCATTGTGAAAAATAGAAAAACGCTGATTTCTCCGTTTCGATTTCTGACATAGTAGCCGATGTATAAATGGATATTTCTCTGTAATTACAACTCTGATTAATTTAATTTTACACTCGTTTTAATGGTAACATATTGCTGTAAAAAAGCGCGTCAGGGATTGTTATTAAGTGCCGTATTTTATTAGTTGTGCCTCTTTATTCGCTAAAATTTTCAATTCTAACACACAACTTGATTTTTAAGCAGTTTTTTTCATTTTTCTCAGTAAATATGAAACTTAAAGAAAAATCTTTTGGTACATATTGTGCTTAACCTGTGGCGAAAATTTTGCTTCCTCACTCTTTGTAATTGGTAATTGAGAAATATCCAAAATACCATTTTTACATAAAAATTCAAAATCCGTGTGGTAACATAATTAGGTGCTGGATATTTCATGATTTTTTTTGGCTTGAGCATAGAGATATATCTCTTCTATAAATAAAACGTGTGATTGATTCGATTCATTCGTCAATAAACGTTTTATATTCATTAGAGCAATACCCGTGCACAAGGTTGAGTTTATCCTAAACCCTCCTCTTGAGGGTCAAAAGGTTATCAGACACTTACTCTTCGCACGTCAGTGGATAGTCCGAGATTCCTCTGACCAATGCCTACACTGACGATTTTGGTGGTTTTGGTGTGGGTTAGCCACTAACCCACACCAAAACCACCAAAATCGTCAGTGTAGGCATTGGTCAGAGGAATCTCGGACTAGTCAGTGGAAAGCACATTTCATGGTCCTTTCAATAAAGTGATAAAAATGGTAGGTCAGCGCTGAAACAAAAAAGTTTTTCACTCTGTTCATTAGGCCATATGTCCTCAGAAAATGTCTGATATCTGATCTTTCCCCCAATGCCCTTTGACCTGTGACTTCCAATTTCGCACTGGTGAAGGGTTTCCTGCCCATCACACTATACACTGAATATTAAGAGCATAGGTTGAGCCGTTAAGATTTGTGCCGCAATTCCGTATTTCCTCCTATACCTTAAGTTAAGGGAGAAATATTCCACCTCCGTTTACACATCTTGACCTTTGACCCTTGACCCCCAAATTTGACCCCCCCCCCGACGTCCCGAATATCGTGACCGTACATCGAGCGGTTAAGATTTGTGCCCAACTGTTGACTGATGGACGCACGCTCAGACAGACGCACAGACAATCATGCGATTCTACAAGCTGCATCTGACTTCGTCAGATGAGCTAATAATAATAATAAAAATAATACTAATAATAATAATAAAAGAAAAAGGGGAAATTTATTAGCAGCGTTTATTTCTCGGACCACTCGGGGGCGCCACTGACCTGCGCATCGCGACGCCTGCCGGCCGAGGTGTATGGTATCCAGGCAGGCAGCGCACGTCGCCGCGCGCGTGTTCAACGCCGAGACAAATCGGTGCGGGATGTCGCAACGAGCGGTGGCGCCCCCTCGCGGCTGCCGCGCGCCAGCCGACGCCCGCAGCAGCGTCATCCGCTCCATCTGAGGCTCGACGATCGACGACAGCGCCACCTTGGCCGGCTGTGTGGTGGCGCCACCGCTGCTGGGGAGCGTCGCCCCTGCCTGCTTGCGCTGGTGGATGACTGTGGGAAGAGAGCGAGGAAAGGGTTAATAGAACAAATTTAAAATTAGTAAACCATTTTTAAAAATCAAACGAAAACTCCTGTCAGATAGATGGCGCAGTATATGGCGCAGCTCACCTTGCTTCTGCATCTGGTTGAGCTGCTCGGTCAGCTTGCGGTTGACGCCGCGCTCTCGCTCCAGCATTGCCTCCAGGTCACGCCACTGCATCGGGAACTTCTGCGCCGGCTGCTTCTTACTGCCGCCTCCTCCGCCGAACAATCCCTTCTGAACGATGATAGAGGGATGAACAATGAAGGCAGACGACATATAATCAACGCGCATCACGATACGATCAATAAAGAGCATTAATCGCGATTGCAAACCCATTGATAATTGCAACTGGTCTCTGGTTTTGCATCGTCTACATTCAAGCCTCTGTGGTTAGTGTTTGGGGTACCGGTTACAGTTAGGGGGTGGGGTTAGGGTTATGGCTAGGTTTAGGCTCCCAACTACGGTTACATGTGGTTACATATGGGGTTAAGGTTGGGATCGACCATGAGGTTCCGCGCGACACGGGTCGACGACTACTTGATCTCGCTTGCGCGCACCGACGCCAGGTGGCGCCGCCTCACCTTCTTCTTCTTGCTCGGGTTCTCGATCTTCGCCTGGAGGAAGTCGATAAGCTTCATCTGCTGGTCGATGGTACCCTGCAGCTTCACCTGCTCCACGTGATGCTGATCCTGAAAGATGAGGATGCTCGTTATCGCAGCATCCGCCCCTGCTTCGATCAAGAACGGCGGCTGCCGTGAAGCCCAACGACAAATCACCTCAGATGTATTAAAATGATATATATCTGTATCAATATATATATATATATATATATATATGTATATATATAATATAAAGTAAAATAACATAAATAATAATGATCAGAATGACCATCAGGATGCTGCTCCTGGAGATGAGAATGCTGGCGAAACGTCTACCCTTAATATTATAATAATAATATTTATTGACTATTATATTGCGCACGTTTTACATGCAGATATGGTTCACGTGCCGCATTACAAAGGCTGATTTAAAACAGCGGACTGCAACCACTGCTAAAACACTCATACTAAAATTACGACAACCTGTAACAATTCACTGATTTAAAATAGCGGACTGCGGCACAGTGCTAAAAAATATAGTATCCTAAAACGCATAATAAATTTTAGATAAATAGAACTCGAACTCAAATGTACACCTAAATATAATGTCTATGTGTTCAATGGCAATGTTAAAAAGATGAGTTTGGACTAGGCGTTTAAAAGGATTCAAGCGACTTTTTCACATCGAATATGACACAAGGTAGCTGTAATCCATAGATTTTGGGGCAGCTGATGTAACAAGCGTCGATCGCCAAGTGTAGCCAACGCTGTTTAACAGACTAGGTGGCCAATTAACATGTGTTACCAGGAGCGCAGACTGTACGATTAGGTCTCTTTAGATGTAACTAAATTCTCTGACATTACTCTTGGTGACATTACAATGTAAGCCGTTAAAAGTGATGACTAGTATTTTAAAATTCTATACGGAAACTAAATGCAGGCCAATGCAAATGGATATAAAAACAGTGTGATATATGGATCAAAGCTTGGATACATTGCACTGATAAAGCCTGGCAGCTACATTTTGGACTCGCTGTAACTTATTCAGTTTTACCTGGGGGCAGCCATAAAGTAAACTATTGCAAGCAGATCAACACGACTAGATAGATGAATTGCGTGAAGGTTTAGAATTTTTGTTGATGTCGCGTAGAAGGAAACTTTCGGATTCTCTGAATATTAATTGAAGATGGAAAAAATGAAGTACTGCAGAGTTTAGAAACATGAGTCTCCAATCAGTTGCGGAATCAAACACAGCAACCACAGTTTCTGGTCACGGATACTTGGCCAAAAATGTTACAACCTGTCCAACAGATGATATGATCAATGTCCACTTTGCCACAGTTGTTGCCGGGTACCTATGATGAGGAATTCCGTTTTCGTCGTCGGTTACACATTAGCCCGATCCCCAGCAAGCATCCAGTCACGGATAGTTTTATTACAGGTTTCACGCAGAGACAGCCCCCTGTTTTTTTTCCCCCCCCCCCTTCCTGGATGCGCTAGCAGAATTTGGATTGAAGGATAGGTACAGTTAGGGTAGTTTCATCGGCATAGCGAGTGGACATATCCGGGAGATGAAGTTCAAATAATGCGAAAATGGTTTGACGCATATTGTTGAGAGAAGAGGCCCTAGCATGAGCCTTGTGGAAACACCCACTTGCAGCTCGAAGCTGTCTGGATTAAAGTCCCACTATTGACACGTGCCTATGATCTGAGTGTGACAATAGGATGAAAAACCAGTCAAATGTGCTTTGCCGTAATGGCAATCCTTAGACTGAAGGCCTCTGCGAAGCTACAAAATATCATGATCGACAGTATCGAAGGCAGCACTGAGATCCAAAAGCACAAGGAGAGTAACTTGCTGGTTGTTCATGTTCATTAATATGTCGTGCTTAACTTTTAACAGTGCCGTTTCAGTGCTGTATTGTTTCCTGTACGCTGATTGCATGATCGGGAACAGTGCATTCACGGTCATGTGATTGTAAATTTGATCAAATACTATTGTGAAAGCTGACTATTATGCCTTCATGGGAGCATTCGCAATGAATCGATAAACACAGGAATTAGGTAATGAACGGCTTTATTCGGAGACGCCGGCTAACTCACGTCTGCTCACATCAATGTCTGCCAAGCAAGAGGGCGAGAGAGGGCGCGCACCTCGCGCATGCGGCAACACCGCGCCACCTTCCGACACTAGTCCGAAACTATGCCGCCGTCACATACGCCCCTCTTTTGAGGAGATGTGCCCCACATCGACATATGCAAATCCGCTAAAAACAAGGGGCAACTGCCCAGCGGTAACGTTACAACAGGAGGCAGCTACCCTGCCACTGTCCACGGAATACAAAATATAGCACACAAAATTACACAATCCGCTAAAAACAAGGGGCAACTGCCCAGCGGTGAACGTTACAAAAGAAAGTCGCTTCGGTGTGCGGTAAGCTGCCATTGCCACGACGCATGGGCAGTCTCCTGCGGCATCACTACGCTGAGCGGGTCGCGTCGCTGTACAGCTTCACGGGGCGGACATAATCGTCCAAGTAGGCGGGAGCATTGACGTCGCGTCCACTCCTCGTCACACGTGGTTCGGGAGCGGCTTCGATCAGCGCTGCAGGCAAACCCATGTCAACACGCGGTCCCACTCCTAACTCAGCATCTCTTTCCCCTGGTTGAGCAACAGCTCTCAGCTCGTCTCCTTCGTCTGGTTCCTCGGGTGGGACAGCTGGCTCTGCAGGAAACTCCATGTCAGCGCCAGGTCCACATTCGGGAATTCCGTCGTCCACGGCCTCTGCCGCCGGGACAGGAGGGGCTGCGGGTGCGGCTGGTAATCGCATGCCGACACCAAGTCCTCCACCCATCATTGGGAAGAACATCCCCGGCAGGGCAGGAACGCCCGGTCCCCTCTCTACAGGGACGTCGTCAAGCTCTTCCGGCTCTTGATGCGCCAATGGCCTGGGTATCCTGGGTGCCACACACTGTTTCAAGCGATTGTGATGGACAACTAGCCTATGTCGCTTAGCTGTGTCCTCACTCTGGATCCTGTATGTGACACCAGGCAGGCCATTCGCTGTCTGCATCCTCTTTACGATGGTATATGGCCCTACCCATGGTAGAGCCAATTTCCGGTGGCGATCTTTTGATACTAAAGCGTGTAACCACACTCTGTCCCCCACTTGGTATGGGTGGTGTTTCATACAATTTCTTTTGTCGCTCTTGGCCAATACTTGCCGTTTTCCGGGCTTCCTCGAAAGCCTCTTGCAGTTCGGCGAGGATGCTCTTTGAGTAACTCCCGGCCGACTTCCAATCAAGAAGAGGAACACGTTTATCATACAGTCGTTGCGCCAGGACTGCGATCGCAAGTCCTCCATGAAGTTCACTTCTGCGTCTGTCACCTCCGCCATCTCGGAGACGAAAGATTTAGGCAAAGATGCGAGAGTCGTTCTACTGTACCAGGACTAGTTATGGATGTTGCGGGAGTTCTGCCGAGAACATGTCCTAAATGTGTTAGCCCGCAGTAAGCCAAATCGCCGAGAGTGAAGGTCACCGCCGCTGCAAATATTTCCCAATTCCTACCTCACTCTCAGCTGTGTAGCGACATGACATCACAGAAGCTGCCAATCAGCCTACGGGGTAACCGTTACTGTTGGTGGTTGGCGACCATTTTACGAAGTATGGTGAAATCTGTATGCCATGAAGGGACCAGAGCAGCTAAAGGAACCGTTGCCAGTAGCCTTATCTTTCGCCCATGTATGTTTTGTGAACACGGGATCCAGATAACGTATTCATTCTGATCAAGTCCGGGCCAATTTGAGCTCAGACATAGTGCAGGAACTATGCCGACCATGGCTTGGGATCGATGATAAGACTAGAACGTGACCCATACTCATTCCCGAAGTAAACGGCGATGACGAGCGCGTTCAATGAGACGCTGTAAGAGCGCCCGTTCGCAAACGCGTCATCAGTCAGATACCACGGCAAGGATTGGATCTCCACCCTTGGGGCCCAGTTCCAGGTTGGCGTTATAAATCCAGGTGTACACGAGACGACTTGGCATGTGCGCTCTATTTTTTCTGTCTACATGGTCGAGAACCTGCGTCGGCTTGCCGGCGGGACATCTGCTCTATGGTATGTTCCAACCCAAGGACTAGTTGAT